AGTATGCATTTATTTGTGTAAGGGTAGACGTCCGTCATATGATTAATAGCTATCTTCTTCTCCAGTAACAGCTCCAGCAGTACCTGGGGTTAACGTTTGTTAAGATGCGCAATTATCAGCTGTTTATAATTGTTCTGTCTGTTGAAATTTGACGGGCGTTCCGTGAAGCAGATACAGCAAAGAATCGGCTTTGAGACCGAGTTGAGCTGACGTCAATCCACGTGCCTACGTGGGCCGTTGCAGCGGTGCGGAAGCATGTTAGCATGTGCAAGCGGCACCTTGGAGAAGTGTTCAGTAGCGCTGTAAAGCGAAGGCAGACGCTCAGAAATCCGAAAATGACCGAACTGAAAGTGGCTCGAACCATACAACTGCGGGTGAACGGACGCGCACCATGATGGGTGATGACACCACGCATTTGTTAACGTGGATTTGTAATTCTTACTGGCGTCTGAATAAAACCTGGAAAAACAATACAACAACTGCCAACCTTTCACAAGACGTCTGAGGAAGACTTCGCAGTACAATATGCACAGTGAGTGGAGCAGGAGCCCTCACATCATATCATAAACTTTTTCTGGTTTATCCCTCGTGCTATCATCTGTTGGAACAGAGATGGCATGACTCTGTGGATAACCTGAAGTAGGAGATACGAGTGCAAAACCACCTGAACGCTTGGAAGAAAGTTCATCTCCTCTTTTGGTATATCAGAGTGTTTGAGTAAAATTATTTTTATTTAAACAATTTTTGTTTTACTCTATTTGTATTTCAGGGTAATTTTCAGAAGCAGCAATTTTCACTAGTTTCTGAAAGGCAACATCTGGGCTTTGGAACAATCTCTTTTCAGCGTTGAAAATTCTACCTCAAATTGCTTAGGCATTATAGATGTTCAAAATTTTTGTGTTTTTGTTTTTCTTAACATAATAGAACGGCAATAATGTATTTATTCCCTGCCATTTTATCTTCAAGTTCAGTTTGATTTTTCTTTCTCGGGCTCTCCAGGATTATTTGTTCCTGGGCCAGGAATGCACCTGTCATGTATAAACCCTCCAAAAAGGGGGGAGCACACACATGCATGTGAACAAAAAAATAATAAAAATCCTAGGCAGCTGGAATTAACCTGTTGGAAAGAAAATGTTTGCATCCATTAGAGACATCGCTTTGCCTAAGTATTTTTTCATACACACGCGCACACAGAGTCACAAAAAACGTGTCGCTGTGCCTATAGTTCTTAAAGGTACACGAGTTCTCTGAGGCCCCAGTTCTGCTCCCACTAAAGTTATTTAGAGGCCCAATACTTCAGCGAGCAAGTGCAAGCTATGAATGTATATGCATACATACTTTACTATCATGGTTGTTTTACCAGGAAACATACAGTATACATATATCCATATGTATGTGCTCCTGTGTTTGTATTTTTTTACAAAGTGATAGACATGATGCAAATGTGTATGCGAGTGATGGTTGGAGCAAGAGTTTATATAATAAAGGTAGAATAATACTGTAAGTTCAGGTGCATAAACGTCAGTGGGTATATTGAAAATTGTAAGTGCAATTAGATACACATTTATTAGAAGAAAATGTATATGCAATGTAAACTTTTATTCTGAAGTTACCAGTAGGAAAATTAAGAGTGAATGGTCAAAAGAGAGACCTTTTTTTTTTTAAAAAAAATATTATTTTTATTTCCTTGTTTCTGGTTTGTGATTATACTCAAACTCTGGTGAGGGAATGTTGTTGTTTTAAAAATAATATTAAAAGTCCTTTTGTTGACTTTGAAATGTAAGTAAGGAAAGAGGGGGGAAAGGAGAGGGAGGCTTGAAGCTGGATAGCTGTTTCTTTGGCACTCCCATTACTGAGCAATGGCCTGATGGAAGAGTGGGAAAAGCTGTGTCATAATTTAGCGAGTTCTCAATCAAAAGAACGGCTTCTTGTATCGAAATCTGGGTGTCTTTTGGGAGACAATTCTTATTATTGATGTTGATTCTACTGAAAGTCATTCATCATTTAATAATGCTTGAAGAAAATTTTCTGTCAGCTTGATTAGACAAAGACTACAAATGACCAAGAATACGCTTCCTAAATTCCGAAAGTTTTAATATTAGCTAACTTTTCAGAATGAGCCCATGCTTCCTCAGATTTCTTTGTAATAAGTCAGTCATTCATAATTGTCATAATTTTAAAGGTTTTTCAACTCCTTGCCTTCATTTCACTCAATGTCAATGGAAATTAGGTATGCACGTCTGTGTGTGATGTATGGATCCCTTGTAGCGTGCAGCACAGCTCTCCCACTCAGCGTCTGGAGACTGACTTCTTCTTTTCTCTTGTTTTCAAGTATTAGTTTGTACAGTGAAATTTCAAGGCCTGAAATCTCTAATTATTTGACTA